CACACACACACACACACACACTAGACTCAACAAAGACACGCAGCTGAGCTTTCTGACGCAGTGTGCGGGGAAAGTTATCCTGACTCCAGCTCTGCACCTCACACAGGTGATGATGATGATGGAGGATGAAGTCATGCTTGTGATGACTGGTAATAATTTCTGATTTTAACAGCAGGTGTATCACACACACACACACACACACACACACACACAGTGTGTGTGTTGAGGTCAGAGGCCTCAGCATCAAACAGGATCATTTCAAACCTTCAGATTATTTAACAGGTTGAAGGCCTAATATCCTCTGAATCCACCTGCCACCTGTGGGATAGAGCTTCAGACTGAAATCATCTCCTGATTACAGAGTTCCGATCAAACCTTGAAAATTTTCCGCCACTAAATAATTATTGAGGATGACTGTCAGCTACTACCACACATTATTTATTTGGCTACATTAGTGTCATTGTCATCTATTAATCAACATATTGATTGTTATTGGCGCACTGTCGCAATCAGCCATGATAAAAGTTTAACCAATACCAGCCACCCTGCTGTACTGGCTGTGTGACCAGTCTAGACCAGTTGTTCCCAAACTTTTTATCTTCTGACCCACAAAATATCCGTGGCAAAAACTTGTGACCCCAAATATTACTGGTCTGAGTACAAACTTTGTTAATAACCCTAAAAACACAGGCTTTTTGACAATCTAAACAGCTTGTACACAAATATAAATACTTATTTATACTTTTTTGTGTTTTAGTAATAGTTATACGGAAAATATTACATCAGCAATTATTTTATTACCCTTTAAATTTATTTCCGGAGATTATTCAAGGTGCTTCATGACCCATAATTGGGTCCCAAGTAGGGATGTAAGAAAATATCGAAACACTGAAATATCGTGATATTTCATTTCCCGATACTGTATCGATATTCTAAAGCCCTGTATCGATTTTTCATTAAGGTTTAAAATGTCAACCTTCTTGCCAACCGGTCATTTTTATGTTGTAGTTCAGCCTCTGACCACTAGCTGGCAGCAGTGAGACAGCCATTTGGCTCCTCTACCTCTTGAGCGTCAGAGAGTAAGGGTAGCATTAGCATTGTAGGAGACAATGTAAGCATTGTAAGTAAACATTAGCTTTTTTTTTCAGTAAGAGGTTTCTATTTAATAGAATTTTTGGACAAAAAGAAATCGCAATATATTGCCTTGCTTACAGTTTCGCAGTATATTGGGAAATATCGTATTGTGACCCCTCTGTTATGATATGTATCGTATCGCCAAATTCTTGCCAAAACACAGCCCTAGTCCCAAGCCCAACTTTGGGAACCAAAGTGCAGTGGTTCCCAAACTTTTCAGCTTTTGACCCACAAAATAACAGTAGCAGAGACCTGTGCCCACAGCTATTTGTGGATGATAAACATTTGTATCAGGTCAACTAAACATGGGCATAGTAACAAATTTTTTATAATACAATTATCTATGTTAAATACACTAACTCATTTGTAACAAATAAGGCAAAAATGTCATTAATTCAGAAAATCTTTTCAGGACCCCACCTTGATGTTTCAGGACCCCACTTTGGGTCCCGACCCCAACTTTGGGAAACACTGGTCTAGACAAGATTTTCTGAATTAATGACATTTTTGCTTTAGTTGTTACAAAGCAGTGAGCTTAGTGTATTTAAAATGATAAATGTAGTATAAAATATTGTTACTATGCCCATGTTTAGTTGACCTGACAAAAATGGTTGGGGGCTCAGGTCTCTGCTACTGTTATTTTGTGGGTCAAAAGCTTAAAAGTTTGGGAACCACTGCACTTTGGGCTTGGGACCCAATTATGGGTCATGAAGTACCTTGGATAATCTCCAGAAATCAATTTAAAGGGTAGTAAAATAA